AATGTCCCACATTTTTTAATGCACGTGTTGTTTTCTCAACCATTATCCGCATGTGCTCGAGTCTTGAATCACTGTGCAGCTTGAGGATGGGTGACGCAATTGGTTACCACATATCAACCACCTGATTGGTTTTTGGTCGGTCTGTTTGCATAATGCTCGTCCAGAGCTAGAGTGATGTTAGACCACCATAGGACCACTGCAGACTAGTCCATGACTAGTTAGTTAGTTATTCTTAATGAGTCTTTATCTCCTTTCAGTATCTATTACTTGAAAAATACACTATATGGACAAAAGTATTGGGACACCTCCATATTACACCTACAGGAGCAGGAGGATTTTGCTTTGTGCACTGGGGCTCAGTCATGCTGGAACAGAAAAGGTTCTTCCCCAGACTGTTCCCACAAAGTTGGAAGCACAGAATTGTCCAAAATGTCTTGTTCCACTGAAGCATTAAGGTTTCCCTTCACTGGAACTAAGGGTTCTAGGCCAACCCCTGAAAACAACCCCATATCAACATCCCTCCTCCACCAAACTTTACAGCTGGCACAGTGCAGTGAGGCAGGTAACGTTCTCCTGGCACTCACCAAACCCAGACTTGACTGCTCCAGAGTCCATTTAGCCAAAGTTTAAAAAGACTCTTTTTTATATGCTGCCATTACTTACAGTTGGGTTGAGGGGTAGGGGGGGATGGCAGGGTTTGGGTGGGGGGATTTAAATTGAAGTAATAAAATTCTCTTTGTTTTAGTTAGTATTGGCCCATTCATCATCACTTTATTTAATACGAGGGGATAGTTGTGCCATCCCGGCCCGCTGCTAATGGCTGTATTCGCTCGTGTTTTCTTTGTTGATCGAAATGAATTAAATTAGTATAAACAGCCTCGCTTGTCGTCTGTTATTCATTATCTTTTTTTTGCTTTATATTGTCATTGGTCGATGATGGGTTTTGTTGATGCTTCTGACTCACTTTAGTGACATCATAAGTGGGTGGTCCATGTAACTGGTAGTTCTGTTTAGTGGGTTTGGTGGCTAGAATGCTATTGTGTTGAAATGTCTGTTCATCTGTGAGTCTGGTAAATAGTTTGCAATTACTATATGAGTCATGTCTGAACTTTGTTCATTTGTTTACTTTTTTGTGGATTTTGAATTTCATAAGCCTTTTTCTTATACATTATGCAAAAAATTCAAATGAAAAAAAAAATCCATATCCTTTTGTATGATGTAATGTCATAAGCAAAAGTTGGAACGCTACGCCATGTTTCTGTTGATTTTCTAAGTGAAAATTTAACACATCCTCTACAGAGAACACACTTCTGTACAAATTTGAATTTGACATTTTGGAAAGAAAGTTCTGTTAAACTCAGCAAATAAATGGAAATTGTGGACTAAAATTTGCATATTGAGAATGTAGAGAATGTGTAGAGAATGTATTAATTTCAGACAAAAAATCAACAAACCCTCATTTGAAATGGGTTGTTCACTTTTGCACACGACCGTATATATTACTTAAAATTTCAGAACGCCGTACCTGCATCCCAGACTGCACTGTGGAGACCCCAGCCTGCCTCCCTCTCCCGTACTTATTAAGCACTTTATTAAAAAAAAAATAAATAAAATTTTATAGTTTATTATTCACGTTACTGGCCTGGCTCTATGAAACTCTCATAAACACTCCCTCTGAAGTTATTAATCAGGCCGAACTCTCAGTCACACTCCTCCTACTTGTTTTAACATCTGTTAGACCCTGCGCTCAGGGACCGGGTGAGTGTTGATGTTCGATCAATGTCAGCATGTTCAGGCACTGAGAGAGCGCTCTATAGGGACCTGGAGAAAACATCAGGCTCAGAATAGCCTGCATGCGTCTTGTATGTGTGATGTGGGAGATCATAGGTTAGAACGAATCTGGATGTAAACTAAGAGCCGTGTTCTGACCTGTTTATACAAGATCAGACCACAGTTAGTTCAGACCTTGCAGTGTGACTGGCTGAGAGGCGCTCTGTTTCTTTTCCACTATACGGTAGAACATTTCTAAGCACGGACAGGCGGCATTTCCCCCCGGACGCATGCTTTCAAACTGATCAGCACGGTTTCCTTGGCATGGTTAACTAACCATGCTCAGGGCTGCAGAACTGCTCTGGTGGGATTGCTTAATGATGTACAGTCATATGCAAAATTGCAAACAAATTACATGTTTTATTGATTTCCTACGTGAAATGTTACCACATCCTCTACGGGGAACATGTTTAAATATGTCTATTTCTGCTAATTTTAGGGAACAATTATTTTAATTGTATATTTTAATTGAGTATTAATTTTCTGAGTTAAATATTTTTCCCCCAATCTGTTAAATTCAGCAAATTAACAGTAATTGCGCATTAAAATGTGCATTACAATGTGCAAGCATGTGTTCTCTGGTGGATGTGAGGATGAGCAAAATGGGTGAGTTCAGCTACTTTAAATTGCATTTATTGCTGATACAGTGGTTCAGTTGCACTCACACAGCTTCTGTAATCTCTACAAAAAAGCACTGACCAATAGATGTGAGCCTAAGGTCACCATGCCCAACACCAAGCGTGGGCTGAAGGTGAATAAAGCCTACCAGCAGTGGGCTGTGGAGCAGTTGAACTGTGTTCTCTGGAGTGATGGAGCTCCATCCAATACCTTTGGGACAATTTATGATCCAGAACTGACCATCCAACATCAGTACCTGACCTCACTAATGCTCAATCAAATCCTCACAACAAGTGAAAAGCCTTCTCAGAAGAGTAGAGGTTGTAACTGCAGCAAATAGGGAACAAACTCCCTATCAATACCCTTCATTTTAGAAGAAACGCTGGATGTGCAGCTGTCTACAAACGTTTGAACATACAGTATATCAGCCTGCAGAGCTGCAGCTCCAGCTGCCCAGGCCCAGTCAAACTACACTTCATTAGCTTCCACAAGTCGTTGATGTCATTCTCCAGAACTCATTACTGTTGGAACCAAGATGAGCCGTACTCTAAACCATCTGAGCACACAGACTCACGTCTACAAATCACAGATTTGGCAGTGCCCACTGACAACCGGCTGCTGTGTCTGGGAACGGCCTGTTCCGTCTGCGGCATCGGGCGGCCGATTTATAGAGTGCTTTACTACCTGTTGGCACCTCATTTGGCACACAGCGAGATGGATAGACTCTCAGCGAGCTAAAACGATGCAGAAGGAAACCTGAATGCGTTTTCCTTTCCTGAGGCGAGCATCCTCATTTTCATCTTTGGGTAAACTTTGTTTCTTTAGTGAGTTGTGTAGCTTTTTGTGCATATAAACGGTCTGCAAAGTCCCAAAGCTCAAAGTTAACTCCAGAGGGAGAAACTCTCTCCCACAGAAGCCACTTTTCTCAGCTTCCTGAAAGGCCTTGTTGGAATTCCAGCCCTTTTCCTTCATTACAAGGTGATGTCATCTCATAACACAGTCCTTACTGCCCGCCTACCAGTGAGCTTGGCAAGCTCTCGCACAGCGCACAGCGGCTACTGGAGGAGGAAGAGTGTGTTCACTGGTGTAGCTGTGTGGAAAAGACGCTGACCAGATTTTCAGGATCAACTCTGGATCAAACTGATACGGCAAAATCGATGCCGCTGGAGAAACAGGCACAGTGGAGTTTACAGCTGCTCAGGAGAGAAGGGTCTGTCTGCAGACTGCAAGACAGGGGCGGAACCTGTAGGGGCAGAACCACTCTGGCAGTTGACCAATCGGACAGAGTGGGCGAGCTGATCAATCAGAGCAAACTGGGCTCATCGGGAGGCGGGGCTTAAAGACAGAGGAACTCTAACAGAGCGTTTCAAACACAGGATAAATAAAGATGTACAGTATGAGAAGAATAATGTGTTTTTGGAACATTGGAGCATAAATCTATTGTAGTAGACTCCAAAAATAAACCTATGAGCACAGAAATTGAGCATAATGAAGGTTCCTTAATGGTTCTTTTCTTGGACATATGGTTTGAGTAAAAACATTTGGTATAGAAGGTATACATTATGTTGAGGTCCTGTAAACTACAAACAGGTTCTTCATCTCGTCTTAAAACTCTACAGCAGTTGTACATTAAAAAACTATCCATTGAAGCTCCTTGGGGAACCTAAAATGGTTTTTCTATGGCATTGCTCTAAAGAACCATTCAGAACCTGCTGACTCAAATTTCTCCAACCAACCCAAATGTTTATTATATATTTATGTGTGATTGTTGACAGTTCCTAAAATGTTCTTATCTGTTCACACTGTTCTAGAATGTTCTCCATCATTTACAGTGTTATAGGATGATCACAAAGCCCTTCTCGAGAACATTCCCCTTCCCTCACTCACATGGTTCTGTTTTCCTCCCTTCGCATTGTTCTAGAATGACCAAACACACTGTTCTACAGTGTTCTCCCTCATTCACACATGGCTCTAGACTATTCTAAGACATTTATAATGTTCTAGGATATTCTTTTCCAATTTCACTGTCCTAGAATGTTCTCCTTCATTTATATGATTATACGTTATATGATGTTCTCCTCCATTCACAATGTGCAAAAACATTCACCTTAATTTACAATGTTCTAGAATGTTCCCTCCCACTGTTCTACAATGCCCCCATTCACATGGTTCTGTTTTCCTCCCTTCCCATCATTCTAGAATGCCCCATGCACACTGTTCCAGAATGTTCCAATCAGTCTGTTCTAGAATGTTCTCTCTCATTCACAGACTATATTCTAACTCATTCATAATGTTCTAGAGTATCCTCCATCCATTCACAATGTTCTAGAATATTCTCTTCCAATCACCATGCCCTAGAATGTGCTCTACCTATTCAAACTTTTCTAGAATAGTCTTCCTAATTCAGCCTGGTTCATTTGGTTTGCCATTGGCCTTGCTGGAGCACTGCAGAGTCATCTGCCCACATGGGAGTGTTGCTGTTTGCTGGAGAACATTGTGCTCTGTAAAGGCATGGCTTTCGTTGACTACTGGTTTGGTTGGGTTTTTTTTAGGAGGAAGGACGCAAGTATCATCGCTTCTGCAACCACGGTGGTGCAGGACTGGGAGGCTTGAAGATGGAGAGGTGAGTGAGCTGCCTGAGAAATGGCTTTAGGCCACCGCAAAGGTGCCACACATACAGAGTACATGATAGATTTCATCATAACAAGATTAGCGACAGGTGACTTCACATTTAAGCACATCTCGAAACCTGCAGCCTGAAATCGCTCGCTTTGGATTCAAGCAGCGCCGTTTCAGCTTTTCCCCCTCAAACAGTAATCTCAACTTAACAATGCGCTGCACCCTGTGCCCTGTCCTGTCTGCTGTCTGTTGTCATAGGAACCGCCATCAGCGGACTGAGGAGGAAGATAACAGTCCCTGTCGCCGGGAGCAGCAGCTGATGTGGGAGAGCAAGGCCCTAGTGTGAGTGTTTCAGTGCTTTACCTGACCTTACCAGAGCAGGGCAGCGTGGGCAGAGGGTAGAATAGAACTGGGGTGTTTAACAACAGCACTGACCGTGATATATGACAGGGGCCAAAGGTTTAGAAGTAACACTAACTTTGTAAAAATCAGCATGAATGTCTTATGCTTTTGATAAATATCTTAACAAGATGTCTAACCAGATGTCTGAGAAGTTTCATGTCCACAGTTTTTATTCTACGTAGTTATGAATGTCGCCTAATGATACTGTGTTTTTCGATACTCTTGAGAAGGTCTTGGCCTGTTTCTTTAATCCATTCATGGTGGAAGGATACATTCAGGGCATTGTGAGGCAAAATAGTCCCCAACGAAAACGGATTATATCAGATTTTCCACTATTTTCCCATCATCAACATTTCATATAAAACTCTGAAGACTCGTGTAGGTTCACTGGTGGTTTTGGTTAGTAAATAAAGTGGCTAAATTTGTATTGTAGTCATGGCGACCCCTGGTTCCTATCACCACCACTGTAAAGAAATCTGTAAAGAGTCTCTACAATGAACCATTTCACTCCAAGCCACTTTCAATGTGTCAGTGTCTCCCCTTAACAGTATGTCTTCAGAAATTTTGTTAGGGAGCATAACTGTACCATAATCCATTGCAATTCATATGTTCTAAGTTGTATTGACTCCACACACCCTGTCTTCACTCCAGGCTTTTTATTTTATTGTTCTGTATTAAAACACTATTACAAATATGTACCTTTTCTCTGGGAAAACATATTGAAGGTACACAGTTGGACGATGTTGTATATGACATCAAATCACATTATACAGAAAAGGATAAATCTCAGAAACGCTGCATGCTGGAGACTTTGATTTTCCCGGATGTGTAGTGTTCAGCCATCCCAATGAGGGCTCTGGGGCAACCGTATCCCTTTCAGAAGCTTTGTAAAATAAATTCATAATGACAAACCAAAGACTGAATGTCTTCTGTGATTAATTATCCATTTCTTCGGGTTGAAAAGAGTTGTTGTTGTTAGCATGGCTGTTAGCCGTCCAATGACGCCTTGGGTTGAGTCTGTTGACCAATCAGAGGCTGTGCTCCTGACTTGTTGATGGAACAACACTACCCTTCCGGGCAAAATGAAAGTAAGTCTGTAATATGCAGCATTCCCAAGATATTTATTCTTTTATGTATGATGCCCTTTGATGTTGCATATGACATCGTCAACCTGAGAGGGTTAATTTGTCGTTTTATCTTAGAAGGTACATTGAAAAATGTACCTTTTTTCTGACAGTGTAGGGTAAGTAGTTTGATTGTAGGATGATTCTTCACTATCTTTTTTGAACAAAAAATAGCTCACTAGTTTTGCTGCTGCATAGCACAAACACAAAAAATCCACCTCCCAGAGCCTGATAGTGTTTATCTCGAGCAATCTAGAAGCTAAATCTGTTTATGTTGAATCGATAATACAATTATTACAGTGTAAGCAGCCTGTGTAATACGCCATCCGCTGAAATAAGAAAGAAATCTGGCTCCTTCTGATGCCTTCCTCCCTGACCCGAGTGACCTTATGGAACCCTCGGAAAGTAATTCATATCGACTGCAGCAAATGGCCGCTGGACAAATTCAATTACAGGCGATCGTGCGCAGGTTCAGAAGCTGCGTGTTTGTTTTGTCCTCGCTCCATCACAAACACAGGCCTCCAGGCTCGTGTTCCTCCGGAGCGGCTTTGGAGCCGGGGTTATGCGGGCCGCTCACCTGCGGATGAACTCTAATCTGGCTACAGAAACCCAATCAAGGGCTAAATTGAATTAGCGTCAGGCTGGGATCGATACGGGCGAGGACAGGAGAAACACGCTTGAGCAGATTATCCTAAGAGATCACAGCAATAATAACACCCGGAATAGCCGGGAGGAGGGGGGATTGGCGGAAGTAAAGTAGAAGAAGTAAACAACAAAAAGAGGAAACACAAACAAAAGAGGAATAATAGTGAAGACTGAATCAGCAGGATTAAGGATCTACTGTTAATTATTTGAAAACAGCTATAAAACTAACATATAAAAGCCAAAAAATAAGCTTCTGTTTGTACTCTTCTTATGGAGCAAACTCTTCACCACATTCAGATAGTGGTAATCTTTGCACTGAGAGTCCGAGTTGGGTCTGTCAACATGCGACTGAAGTGTGATTGGAGTCTGAGTTACACTGTCGCACACAGCAAGCTCTAACTCCTCACTCTGATCCATTGTACTGAGTGAGGTACAGCTCCACCAGTTCAAAAACAGCCAAAACTTGCTTTTCTTCCAAGTTGCATGAGTGGCTGATGAGAGAAAACCCATCCTCTATATTGATTGGACAGTTATAATGAGGTATGGTGCTTTTTTAGTGCACTCAGAAGAAGGGCTGATGGTTTTTCAGCTTAAATCCATGGTTTAAACATGTGAACTGCATTATGCAGCTTGTTATTAGCTGTAGGCTTTGCATACAAAAGTAAACCCTACTAAAAACTTCAAATGACATTAACAGCTTCAAATAATGAGACATTTTTTATAGAGAAGCCTTCAGTTTGAAGGAAAGAGGCAAAACAACATGAAATGATTGGTAAGTCTGTAAGTTGTATAGCACACATGCTAGCTAGTCTGATAGTTAACCAAGCTGAGTTAAGTTTTAGTTTTTAGTAAATTTTGAAGCGATGTGATCTGTAACTTACTAAAACGTCAGCTAAAAAGTGAGTGTGCTAGCTAGCATACTTGCTATCCAAACTACATACTAGCAAACAGTGCATCCAATAAATCAAGGCAACTTGTTTTAGACTCTTAAAATCCCAGGCTCATTTCATACAAAGGCTTATTCTTCATTAACTACAGGGACTTCAGTGCAAACTGGTTGAGCTACTCTTGAGTTATAGAAGTATATGATAAAACTTTGACCATGTGAGGGGTAAATAAAGCAATAACAAAAAATGAAAAAGTTCATGAAATGACCACAATATACAGTGAAGGGGGTTTTAGGCATGACACGAAGCAAAGTAAAACCCCCATCCCTGTTGGATAAAAAGCAAGTTTATTGCTTTTTATCCAACAGCGGCCGACATAAAATATAATGAAATACACATTTTTTCAGAAAATAATTTAAGCTATTATTAATAATAATAATTGATATAAACAAGTATTCTGCCAAGAAATGTAGTTCTTTTAGAGAATGGTTTTGTTGCCAAGCAACCAAGGACTGCAGCATGAGAAGAAGAACGTTTGGTTACCCATCACTGTATATTGCAGTCATTTCATGAACTTTTTAACTTTGTTCATATAATAATGAACATATGATAACACAGCCCTGTTTAATGCAAAAACCTTTGCTTTATAAGCACTTTTTGGTCACCAAATTACCGCGAGTCTTATTTAGCACAAAGCTAACAGCGACCCTCTTCTAATGCTGGGGCTGAATCTCAAACGGCTCCTTGCTCCCTACATAGTGCACTACGTAGAAATTTAAATACTGGATCCTGCAGCCCAACAGAGCAAAATACAACTAAAAATAGTCATTTGGGATTCTGCCATATCCATAGTCAACAAACTGTGCACTACCTGACCATAGAAGAATTTAAAACTTATATAGCACACTATTTTGGGTTTATGGAGCCGTTTGGGTGAGTGACTTTTTATGAGGTGGCACAATAATACTGAGTTCAGTTGTTGTGAAGCGTCTGGTGTGCATCTATATTAAGTATTTTACAATGGCTTTGAACGCAGCTCAGCCAATCAGATTTTTGCACCAGAACCATCCTTTTATATAAAGTTAAAGTAAGCTCCAATTCCACATGCTGATCCATTTTACTGTCACCAGTGTGAACACGCCTGCTCACCAACAGATTCTTTGATTCCGTTGAAGGAGCTAAACACTCTGGTTCTTGGGTGAGATGTGAGGCGAGACAAGGTCAGTGGGTTAATGGACCATTTCAAATTGCTTGTTTGTTTTCCTAGAATTCAAAGGGCCTGGCGTACTGCACTGGACCGCAAACTGGGCTGGCAGGGGGGCCCTAAGAACCGCATGGATCACCGTTGTGAGATTGATCCAGAGGAAGATGCCTTCACTGCTGGACTCACCATTGAGGAGCTGGACCAGAGCCTCACACTGGTAGGGCAGCTGAAGTGTGTGTGTAGAGAGAGAGAGAGAGAGAGTGAGGGGCATGCAGCCTATTCTCACAGTCCAGGCTACTTGGATCGGGGGGTCAAGAAGTGAACGTGCGTTGGCGTAATGCCCAGATGTGTAATTAGTAGTTAATTAGATGAATTTGCTAAGTTGGTTGATTGATTAATGAAGTAGTTGGAGAAGTGGCAGTGTCCTTGTTCCATCTGCCCTCCGAGCTCACGGTGAATTAAACACTGCCCACAACAGCAGCCCACACACACACACCCACACACAGGTTTGTTTTTATTCAATGTCAGGAGGGTCATGTCTCACATAATAATATGTCCTATAAAAAAGCGGAAAACATAATTAATAGAAAAATTACATAGAAGCTTCAACAACCAAATATGACCTAATTTTTTTAGTGTTGAGTGTGTTTCTCTTTACCTTTATTCCAGCTTCCACTATTTTCAGGAGACTCACTCCTGAACTCACAAGTTCAGTTTTAGAAGCTGGTTGATCATTTTCTAAAATAATCAAACACATTCAATGATGTTGAGGTCTGGACTCTGGGCTGGTCAGTCCGTAGAGTGACTCAGTGAGGCTTCTTGACACATCCTTTCAGACACACAGCGCTGAGTCATCTTCTCACAGTGGAAGGATGGACAGAAACACCTGTGGATGTTTTCAGATCTGAAGCAGCTTGATTTTCTCCTCTCTCTCATAGATGAAAGCTTTAAGTGCTGTTTATCTGATGGGGGCAGTTTTGGGGTCTACCAGGTCTTCCAGGTGGTTGTTAGGAGGCATCATTTTTTGAACTCCAGGTTTAAAAACTTCATTTGTTTTTCTTTGGCTTTCTCCTTCATTATGCAAGTGGATCTTATATCTGATCTGCTCAGAAATACCTCCTAAAAAAATTCAGAATTTCCATTTTATCTGGAAATTAAACAAATGAAGAGTAGTCTTTGATTTTTGCCTGGTACTGTATATAATAATAATATATAATATATGCATTTTATATATCCCAAGCTACCGATATAAAGTAAGACTTTGAGAATATTCTTAACTTTATCCCAAACCTCACCCACAAAACCACACACCCACACTCTCAAACAAACCCAAACAGAGCAGTAAGACCTACATATGAAGGAACGACTGAAGAAACCTTCAGATGAAGAAAGAAAAAAGAATCCAAAAGGGCTGACAGGAAGCAGACGTGTGAGACAAACCCAGGCTGATTTGCAGACAGTTGCGAGAGAAAAGAGCAAAGCAAAGAGACGACTCCCTTTGTTTTGTCTGACGTAGAGGAAAAATAAACTTGGGTTAGAGACTTCCTCCGGCTCTGAGTCAGATGAGTGTTTATAAAAGATGGTTCGAATTGCACATGGAAAGGAGGCTTCAGAGAAGCGGAACTACTCTTTTTTTGCCTGTGAAAGAATAGAAACTATTGTTAAGCTCATAAAGTGAGCATGCGCTCTTCTGGGAACAGCATGTCCCTGGATCAACAGTCCTTATCTGATGTCATCAGTGTGACCGCCTTGAGCCACCTGAAAGTTCCCTCAAGAACATTTTTGTTGGTTTATGCTTTTTCACTTCATAAAATTAAGCACATATTGATTCGTTACATTTTGTGATGATTTCATGCCTTCAAATTGAATCTCTGAGTTTAATCAGTTTAATGCAGTTTACTTTAGTCTGTTGCCACTGGCAACTGGAGAGATTGGCCTAGGAGATCCCAGGAGGAACTGATTGGCCAGCACACTCCAGAAAAAATGAAGCTGCTCTGCTTTTGATCTTAATAATTTTTTAATAACTTCTCTTTTCTGTTGTTGATGCCACTCAAGCAGTGTCAGCAATGTTGTGACTTGTCAGGATTACTTTTTTTTGGTCGGTGCAAACCTTGTTAGCTGTGCTCCAAAATCTAAGCAGCATTTCTAGACCCCTACAAGGGCCTCCAAACTGCTTACACACTTAAAATGATGGTTCTTCGAGAGTTCTTTGGTAAAGAAAATGGTTCTAAAATGGAACCATGAACACTCAAAGAACCCTATGCATGATTAAAGGGTTCTTTGCATCGTGAAAGGGTTCTTCAGATTGATGAAGAAAGTGCTGTGGATGGTTCTGTGTAGAACCTTTTTGAAAATGGCACCAAAAAGTTTTCTTCTATTGTTTCAAGCTTGGCATCATAACAGTAGAAGAACCCTTTTTGGTGCTATGTAGAACCCTTTTCAAAAAGGTTTTATATAGAATCATCTACACATTAGCACATTCTCCATCAATCTGAAGAACACTTTCACGATGCAGGGAACCCTTTAATCATGCAAAGAAACATTTTCTTTAAGAACCCTTGAAGAACCATCATTTTTAGGAGTATAGGCACTCCCAGAGACCTAAACACTGTAAATGGTTTACAAATGAAAGCAGAGAGAATAATTGTTATAAAACAAATAATGTTATTTTTGTTACAATATTAATAAGTTGTTTATTTACACAATACCACAAGATGGTATTACTGATGATTGAATGCTAATTAACCCTGTTTGGGGGTGTAATAAGTAACAGTTACATAACAGATAAGATCAGCCTTTTTTGGGGGATTTTATGTCTCAAAACTGTGGATCACTTTGTGACCTGGATACCATTTTTTGTACCATTATAAAAACAGCTGTGTTTTTCTAAATATTTACATAGTATGAATCTTTTAGCCCTTTGATTTATAAGATGCTCCTCATGCTTCACATGACTGGCACATCATAAATGCACACTTTCATGAGCACACGCACAAGGATTAATCACCGCCTGAGTGTCTAAACCTGGATTGACAGAGAAAGTTGTTAAAACGAGTTTACCATGGGTAATAAGTTTAGTGACGCTAAAACTCTGAGATAAATCTGCTTCGTGAGACGTCTCTATTTTCTCGTTACCCTTTTTCTTTCTTTTTTAATGATCAAACATTTGCTTTTTCCCCTCACTGGAGTTTAGCATTTTTGACAATATAATGGTGCACTAATAATCCAGAGGTTGTTGGGCTGTTATGTTTATGTTGCAATGTTGCTTATTAGGTAGAGCTGGAACTGTTGTCTGCTGGTGTGTGTGGTTCGGTGCTGGCTGGGCACTTTTGCACTCAGGATTAAGCCATCAGTATTAGGCAAGATGGTCCAGATTTGTTCTAATCGCACATTTAGGCATAAAATATTCTCTGTACATTGAATTTGTGAAGTAAAAAGTAATTTAAAATAGTAAGAAAGAGTTACATTTGTGTTATATTAACATATGTTATTCTAAGATGCAGTGTTTAGTACTTTAATCACATTCAATTCTGCATGTTTATCAGTGCTTAAATTATTTTTTGGGCAGTGGGTTTTTTTTAAAGCAATCTTCTTTGAGTGTACAGTGTTGAACATTGTCCAAATATAGCTGCAGTCAACCTTTCAAGCCCAAACAAGCACTATTTCTATGCGTAGCTAGCAAACATTAGCTGAGCCATTTAAAAACTCCCTCTAAAACATGGCATTTTACAGAGAGATAAAGAATTGTGTGGCTCATTTTTGGTACCTAATACATTTAACAAAATACTTGATTCGTTAAGAATATTAAAAGTACACTTCTTTCATCATTCGTTTAGGTGAGGAAACATAGCTAATGTCTGCTAGCTAGCTAGGGAGCATGGTAGTTCATCCACTAAGTTCACAGATGTGAGCTGAGCCAAAACATGTTGTTATTCAATGCAGATGTGTTGCAGGTTCTGTGCCATCCTCAAATCTGCCAAATGTGCTTTTTGAACAAGCAGAAGTAACCGTCGTCCTGCTTAGTGCATAGAAGAATCGCAGGACAATAGACAGCATCAGTCTCATTCTGTGGAGGCGTAAAGCTGTATCCTGTTTTTATTCCTCGCGCTGCCTCACTCCTGCTCCTGCCCCTCCCAGGGGCACCGTTTCTATCTGAAAGCCGCAGATCAATGAGAGAAGGGGTTCATGGAGAGCTGGATCCGTTATCTGAATGTTCCTCCATATTTTCTGTAAGCCCTTTTTTACGGAATGAATGAAATCAATGCTACAGCACAGCCAAGGGACTGTGTGGAGAAGAGGTTCAGATGTGCAGGCTGCATAAAACATGGAGTGGTGAGGAGAAACCTCTTGTTACATACACACATACATTTATTATATACACCTTCGAATACTAAATCCCTACCTTGTACTTCCACTCACTGGCCACTTTATTAGAAACACCTACCTTGTGCTTCCACTAACTGGCCACTATATTAGAAACACCTACCTTGTACTTCCACTCACTGGCCACTTTATTAGAAACACCCGTCTTGTGCTTCCACTCACTGGCCACTTTATTAGAAACATCTACCTTGTGCTTCCACTCACTGGCCACTTTATTAGAAACAACTACCTTGTGCTTCCACTAACCGGCCGCATTATTAGAAACAGCTACCTTGTACTTCCACACATCGGCCACTTTATTAGAAACACCTACCTTGTGCTTCCACTCATTGGCCGCTTTATTTAAAACACCTACCTTGTGCTTCCACTCACTGGCCACTTTATTAGAAACACCTACCTTGTACTTCCACTCACTGGCCACTTTATTAGAAACACCTACCTTGTGCTTCCACTAACCGGCCGCATAATTAGAAACTTCTTCTCTCTGTATGAGCCCTACCTACCTTGTTGCTCCACTATGTAGTTGGACAACAGACTGTAGTTCATCTGTTGCTGCTCAGTTTATCAACCATCTATATCCCCTTCATCTTTGGTCAATTTCTGGCCAAGTCTTCAATAAGGTCACGCAGACTTATCAATGTGGTTTAGGACACTGGATGACTTACTGTGCACTGTAAAAATGTAAAAACAATTCACACAGGCTTCCCCTGACTCACAGGCATATGAAAATTAGATAACATTTCTGTTGTTTTTGTTTTTGTACATATAACTTTCATTTGAAAACTCAATATTAATATTAATTTATATGTACAAAGAAACAACAGAAATTGCTCT